TATCGAACGTAGCAACCACTACGTAGTCAAGGTCGGTCTTTGCCCGTAGCGTAAAGGGGCGTCCTCAGGATCCCTCTCTCCCTCTGTTCCTCTCTGTGTCTCTCTCCTCGCGAGATACGACGACCCCAAAGCCTCTTCCGCGACTCGTTCTCGTTTCGGTGTAAATAAACGCGCCGGACCGGCGGATTTTTTCGGCCGGCCGATCGACGCGCCGCGACCGCCGATACCGATTCACCTTGGTTTCGAATCGATAATAAGGTTTTTCCTCCGACTAACCTCTCCGAGCGAGACAAAAACCGAGCGGCCTGCGATGATTAGGAGCTAGGGATATGGTCGATAGAAACGGAGGGGACGCTTCCGGATCTGCAGATGGCTCAGCTGAGGCTCTCCGATGGATTCCTTGTTACTCGATGCGATTCGTTGTTTCTTTCATTTTCTTGGGATTTTCGCGTTGACGCGTATGTTACGTCGGTCGTGATCTTGCATGGAAGGTCTCGCTTGGAAGCGATTGCGCGAAGAATTGTGTCGGATCGAGGTGTTTAGTAGGATAAGCAACGAAATCGCGCACCTTGGGAACTACGCGAAACCGGTGACAATGACTCGCTAGCCTTTGTTATGGAATAAGATATTCGGAACGCTCGAAATTCTCGTGATCGTGTCATCTCCGCAATATGCACCGTGTCGATGAAATTTCATCTTTTTGGGCTCCGAATCTTTATTGCGGAGTTGTAGGAAAACTGAGATTAACCGTCGCTCGTTGTTCGATTTCTGCAGAACAGACGATCAAACGATATTCCCACGAAAAATAGAGAAATTAAATTTCTCAAACTTCTTGAAACTTCTTCAAACTTGTTCCGCGACAAAGCGAGTTCCAGTTTGTGCCAATATGTCCGTGAAACGTTAGAACCAACTCGATCGGACGAGGGAACAAAATTTCCTGGTAAAAGTAAGGCGTCGCGTGCGCGGATCGATCGGTCCTCGTAAACAGGGAGAGACGCGCGGACGTGTTCCATTGACACACGGCCAGTAGTAGGAGTCATTCATGGTCAGACGAGCGTAGGAAGGACTAAATTGGATTCGCATTGGCTCGGGTGGTGCGCGGTGCGACGGAGCCAGGCGGCGCAGCCGCCGGTAACCCCGCGTATTGAAATTCTGGAGGCGCGCGACCGCCGCGGCGACGCGTCCATTATGTGCAATTGAAAAATTTCCGCGCGGGGGACGATGGGAACGTCTCTCGAGGCCGGTAAATGGACGCCGAATCGCCGGGATCGTCGGGACGGTTAATTAACTCGCTCGCGAAAACAGTTACCCGGTCCCTAACGCTCAGCGACGCGTCGTTCAGCGATTGTTCGGGTCGATAGGTCACAGAGAAACGAGTAGAACCTGTGCGATAATAAAAAAAGGATTATAATATACGGAGGTCCTTTAATCCTTTGCACTCGGAAGTTTTTCACTGGAAATATTCAAGTTTCCAATGAATACACATCTTTTAAAATAAATTGAAGGGAATCTGAGCGAGCTTTCCTGCAACTATTGTCGATTAGATTTTACGGCGACTGAAACCAAATTCTAGCGCCGATAGTTGATGTTGGATCTACCGAATAATAAGAGTAATTTCTTATAAAAATTAGGAGACTCCAGATTCGAAGCATTCCCTATCGTTGCGCTTGTAATGTAAGATTTCATTTTGAAGTTTCTCGCAGAAGCCTTTGCATCGTTTTAACACTAGAACTACCGAGCGTTTCATACGATTAATATGCAATTCCCATAAAAATTGTAATAGATTATTTTCAGTTTCTTCGGAGATTCGTTATAGTACTCACATGAAACTATTTTCAAAATCATTTCGAAGATTCAATGCTTCGGAGATATCAATAATTAAACAAAGCAACCGGAACCAGTCATTTTGACTTGAAGTTCTAGTGTTAAACAGAGTTATTTCAATATTTCATATATTCATGGATTAGAAGCCTTTGTGGACGAATGTCGATATTTCGATGAGATGAAACAAGAGGTTAGCACATGGTTTCTGTTTGTGCTGTTAACTAAGCAATCAATACACAATTTAGCTTCATCTGTCGAAGGTTCTCATTTCAAAGAATCTTCGTCCGCGAAGGGTTAACATTGCAAGACTTTACGATTTTTCTGCAACGAATCGTACGGTGACTGAGAGTCACCTCCCGAGTGCAAAGGGTTGAAAGGTCGTGTCGAACAACATTGGTTTCGCGAAACAAGTCCGAACCGAGAGGGACGAAGTTTCGCGTGAAAAACGAGCAGCGCCCGGGGCGAAGCTGACAATGTTCGAAGGATCAACGCGCCATTGAAGAGGCAAGGTAGAAAGCCTCCGACTGCACCTCGTCCTTGCGCAACGTTGCATAAACCGTGCGCTCGGACTGTTTACGTCCGAGCGTTGCATAAGAAAACGACGCGAAGATCATTCCGAAGCGCCTCGCGTCTGCTCGCGATTTCGGCTCGTCCCGAAGGTGCACCGTGTTATTGGCGAGAAGTCACGCGAGACGGATCTCCCATCTTGCGCTCCGTTCTCACGTGGCACGATGGCATTTCGACAAACGGGCGTACTAGAGCTGAAAATACGCGAGACAATGGGAGCGCCTCTTCCACTCCGATCGGAACTGCGTTTCTTCCGTGGGACACGTTATTGTCCGGCACTCGTCTAACGAGATCGGAGGATCTTCGTTTCCAGGTCTGATCGGTTACGCGTCGCCGTGCCGTACAATCTTTCCCGAAGTGAAAGTACGTAACAGCGACTATCCGTCAGAAGCGTCGTAAATGAAACCAGGCTCGTTAAAGAACCTCGGAAGCGAGTCGAGACTGTAACCGAGTTATCGAGCGTTATTATCGAATCGAGCTTCCCATTCCGTTCAGCGAACGCGCGACTAGACGAACTCCGACCGGTACGGCGAAAAGACGAAAAGAACCGAATCGAAGCCGCATTCCTGAGCCGCGGCGGCGCGCGGGCAACGGCGTTAACGACGATCGCGGCGAATCGGCGTGCCCGGCTCGCTCGATTAGCATTCTAGCGCATCCGTCGGCCGACGGCATAGAAATAGAATGGAACGGGCGGTAATATACCGAGGGCAGGCGCTTTCCTCTTGACTGGACGGGTCCAAACCTCGAAGCAGTCCTCGAGCGCGAGGTTCCAGTGCTTGTCGAAGGCGGCCACGTATGCCTCCACGTGTCCCCTTATGCCGCGCGCGTTCCTCGTGTAGACCTTCGGCAACAAAGGACGAGCGATTATTCCTTTTAAATCGAGTGGCGAGTTCTCGTGTTACCCGCGTCGCGTCGCGTCGCCTCGCGTCTCGTCGCGATGCAACGGCGACGCGAGCCTTCTCTCTCTCCAGGCCTGTTCCAGGTAAAGACGCGTTCTCGCGAACCGAGAAACGGCCGGAGAGAGAGAGAGAGAGAGGAGGCGAAACCAGCGTCGATCTTTTCTCTCCTCGTGCCTCGCCTCCCCTGCGCTCTCCCCCTCCTCCCCGGTGTCCCGATCTCTCGAAAATAAGCGCACGGAACGTATCACGCATCCTCGATCCACCTATTCCAGATCGTACGTGTCCGCACTCCCCGATGAAGCGGACGGTACGCCGCGAGTACTGGTTCCTCCTTGTCGTTGATCGATGACTCCGGGCTGCCGCCGCGCGGCGGCGGGCCGGGGGGCGGCTGAAAGGGATACGGGGACGAGCAATTTTTTGCACGCACCCCGCCAGCGACACATGCATAATTTGTACGGGCTAATTGTACGGTTTTTGCGACGCGGACGCGCACGGGAGAAAGGAGAGGCCATTAGCGCCCGGCCGCATCGCAACAAATTGCCGGCAGAAACGGATTCTCGGATTCAGGGAACCGGGCGGCCCGGCCCCCCTTCCCGTTCACGGAAACTCGCCCTCCTTCCGGTCCTCCTCCTTTTTTCGGACTACGAGAACGCGGCACGCTTTTCGACGCTCCGCGCCGCGCGCTGGTCGGCCCACCGGCCGTTCACTGGACGCCGATCGGTTACTGCCGATGCATCCGTGGTACGAATACTTCCAATGGAGGTTGTAAGGTGTGTAGCTGGGCGTACGGTGGTTATGTTTCACAGTATGGGGATGTTGCAAGCTTTCTGGGGAAGATACTTTGCGCTTCGATTCTGACGTTATGCGAATAGAGAAGCGGGAGTCGTTTGGAATTTTGAGTTTTCGGGTGAACTTTGTCAAATTTCTGTTGCAAGCTTTTTCGGGGACAATGGACACTTTGCTCCGATTCTGACGTTACGTGAATACAGAAGCGGGAATTTGCGGAATTTTGAGTTTTCAGGTGAAAATCGTTTGTTTAGGGACTACTCATCGACGTATCAAACTTCTTAATTCTCTTTAAGTTTCTTACTGGCGAAGTTTGTTCCTATCGTCGAAATCTCACTATCCGTTTCTGGCCTTTATAAAGAAATCTGCAAGAGGCAATTGATCGGCTCTAACAGCCTCGCTCCTTCGTCACGTATCTCCTGTCCCAGAAAATTCCAAAGAATGTCTATCTTATCGGAGAACATTGAATATTCCCAGCGAAAAACCTTCGAGTGCAAAGGGTCAACGATCACAGATAGCGACTCGCGATCGAGCTCCGTTCCGCCGAACTCCTCGCGCAGGCGACAGGTCCGAGGAATCGTTTAGAAGAAAGTGTAACTGGAAAGACGGCGGGGCTCACGCGATCCCCGCGATTTTCCGCGGCGACAGTCGCGTTAATGACGGCGGGCACGAGAAAACGAGCGAGCGCCGTTGTTTGTCGCGTAGATACGTCGCGAGACAAGATAGCCGGCTGATACGCGGAAGTGCAGGCCGTGGCAAGGCCCCTTTCAATGCCTTTCGCACTGATATATACCCGGCTTTGTCGCAATGAAAACTAATTGCGTGACTCCGACTCTGTGACTCGGCCTCCTTCCTCTCTCTTTCGCCGACGCGCTCGCTCTCTTCGATTCCGCGAGCACACGACCGCTCGACGTTCGGCTCTCCGAATCGGGAGACTTTCCTCGATGATTTTCATTCCGATCCCGTGCACGGGCTTGACCGCCTTTATCACGGCGACAACGACGCTCGCGTAAAAAACGAGCGTTCCGTCTGATCGCCGCGTGCAACGTGATTCAGTCGAATGGAAATCAGTCTCGCAGTACGAGGCGCGATCGGATCGTTTGGGAAGCAGTCGATCGGTTACCTGCGAAATCTGGGCTAAGGAAAATTGATGTACGGACTTCTTTCACGCGAGCCTATCCTACGCGTAAATTGGAACACGCGATCCGAATTCAGTAATAGCGAGTAATCATTGTTGTTTCTTTGTGAAATGAATGTGTAGTTCTAAAACTTTCAGCTCTTCTCTTTGCGATTTTCGTTTGAACCCACGTGGAACGGACTTTCGCGTGAATCGAGAGTCAGGTGTATATTGTCTTTGCACTCGGAGTAGCTTTTACCGTGACCTTCTAGCTTTGAATTTTTATGAGCCGTCAGTTGTTCAATTTACAACGATGCGAGCGCGTCTGTCAGATTAAGGATCCTGCTGTCATTAAAAGAAACATGTGTATTATGTTTGATAATTTACAATTATCTTACAATATCGCGGCAGCGACAATGGAGTGGTTAGAATAAAGAGGTGAACCGAAATGAAACAGAAACGGCATACGAACTGAATCATTCTTGAAAGGACCTTCTGAGCAACGTCGAGACAAGGAATCTCCGATCCGACGACGATTGTACGAGTACAGTTTCAATGCTCGAAAGTGTCCGTGAAGGATTCGGAACGTTCCCCTCGTCCCTCGGTCGGCCGTGATCGAGCAAGCGTGCGTGCGTGCGTGCGTGTGTCATCGGCACCGAGCAGAGGGAGGGACGCGCTAGAGTCGACTCTAGGAGTCCTCAAGATTCCTGCGAGGCATATCCTTGCCGGGTCCAGCCGGGCAGGATCCGTCGATTAACCGCGAAGGACGACCGCGTCGCCTGGCGTACCGAGATTCGCTGAATCGCCGGTCCAAGGATCGCCGATCGCCGGTCGGAAACGAAAACCGCGCGGAACCTCTCGATCCGGAACTTCATGGGGAATCTTTGGGGAATCGGAAATGCGAAGAATCGAACCTAAATTTTATCGGAGAATCACTGGGAAATCGGAAATGCGAAGAATTCAACCGAGATTTCATCGAGAATCTTCGGGAAATCGGAAATGCGAAGATTTCAACGGAGATTTCATCGAGAATCCGTAGGAAATCGAAAATGCGAAGAATCGGAGACGAAATTTCATCGGGAATCCTTGGGAAATCGGAAATGCGAAGAATCGAGCCTA